AGCTCATTCTCTGTGAGTGAAAAAGACAATACTTGAGGAAGCTGAAAGAAGTCAATTCTAGCACAAGACAGGACCTAGGCCAACCCAGTAAGTTATTGAATCATCGCTTTAAAAAGTCAAAAATCTGCGAAAGACAACTTTTCTTATACTTGGACTCATGAACTTTAGAGTTTGTTTTTCTGTGTCTGTTTTACTATTCTCAGAATTTATACAAAACTTTTTTTTTCTGTTGTATTTATGTATGTGCGTTTGAGGTTTTAAAGGAGTATAGATTAAATTGCATAGCAATTAGTACTTTTTTGGCCTTGTTCCTACCAATTGCAGTATTTTCTTGTGATTGAAACCTGATGTGAATTATTTTAGTCATAGAAAGCAATTGAAGTCAGATAAGTTGAATGTCATAGTGGTTCGTAGGAACCAATTATTGCCCATGTTGGAATCTGTACCGAAAACAACAAATGCTGGAGATCACAGCGGGTCAGACAGCATCCACAGAGAGAACAAGCTAATGTTGCGAGTCTAGATGACCCTTCATCAAAGCTGAAGTGATGTGTGGAGGAGTCAGCATTTATGCTGTAGTTTGGGTGAGGACTGGTGTGGGGGTAGCCTTCTAGACTTAATATTGAATTCATCACCTTTAAATTGTGAACCATTTCTTCCTTTTCTTTTCATGTCCTCCCCTCCCCCCCATCCCAGTTACTGTTCTTTCAAGAGGTAGTAGGAACTGCAGATGCTGGAGAATCCGAGACGACAAGGTGCAGAGCTGGATGAACACAGCAGGCCAAGCAGCATCGCTCCTATGATTCTGCTTGGCCTGCTGTATTCATCCAGCTCTGCACCTTGTTGTCTCCACTGTCCTTTCAAGTCTGGCAGGCAACACACCATTGTTCTGCCATTCGCTCATTCCGATCAATTGATCTGAACTATTAATACCTTTTCTCCACCAGCGCCCTACTCCCACTATCCCCCCGTCCCTCCAAACTATAGCATAAATGCTGTCCCCTCCACGTTTTACTTCAGCTCTAATGTAGTCATCTAGACTGAAAATGTTAGTTAGTGCTCTCCATGGATACTGCCTGACCCGCTGTGATCTCCAGCAATTGTTGTTTTCATCATAGTGGTTTAATTGGTGATTTACATACTTATAACAGCTTGTAGAATAATGGGGCTCAATTGTTGCTGCCCTCTTTCCATTTGAGTTACAACAGAGATTGATGAAGGAGTTTTGTACAACTTGAAATCTTTAATCGATGCTTCGTGAGGCCAAGAGTCTGGGTGTTGATATGAAATTTCTTCAGTATTAGCCTGTGCCAGTTGATTTTACACATTTCAAAATCAAAACAAAAATATGAAACATGAGAACGCCATTATTTCACCTGCTTAATATGGAAACAGATTTTATGTGGTGGCCTGACCTAGCTTGGTACATGTATTGTAATGTGGATTTTATTCAGGACTCCTTGAAAGTGGTTTTTAGTTGTTTCGAAAATAATGGAGAAGATTAGTTTTGAATGCTGAGTCCTGATTAAACAACCGAGTTGCTGGTGTCATGCTCAGTTTTTGAAAGCTTGGGAGTGGGTGGTTCACTTTTAAGATTTTAATTCAGTTCGAGACCAATGGGGTTAATTTTTTTTTCTTTGAGGCTGCGAAGGGCAGATGAATTTAGGAAGATTCAATCCAGTCCCCTTAAGCAGGCTTGTTTCCTAATATTATACTTTGTTTCATACTAATCTGGCAATCTCATTTGTGAGAGTAGAGGTCTCGCACCTCACTGTCCACCACCTGACCTTGCAGTACTTCATGTGTAAGATAGTGTGTCTGAAATTAGGAAACTCCCCTACCTTCCAGCAAGGATCCCTGTTACTTTGAAGATTTAATCATTGATAATCTGTAATTACTTGAAGCGTAAATTTATTTCAGTAATCTGATTTAAAATGAGCAGTCAGGTAGTTAAGCAACAAATGAATTTTCTACCAAAATTTCATGGTTTTTACTTATACTTGTTACTAGTAAAGAATCTTCCCTTGAAATTTTATTCATGCTAGTAACTAGCATCCAATCTGAGCACCATTTCCTGCCCATATGCCGCTCGCATTATAAAATTCAACCAACTGGCATTCAGCTCGGTACTGAGGAAGGGTCACCGGACCCGGAAAGTTAACTCTGTGTTTTCTCCTTCACAGATGCTGCCACACCTGCTGAGCTTTTCCAGCAACTTTGTTTTTGTTCAGTTGTGAGATACCTGTTTAGTTCAATTAACAAGTACATTTCACTTTACCAATTGAATGCATTTGCACCTTTGGGGAAATATTTGTCTCCTCCCAGAGGTTGCATATTTGCTCTTGCACGCACTGTCATGTGCTCTCACTCGCTCTCCTCCCCTCCCTCTCCGGGAATATTAACTTCCCTTTCCTAACACAAGGGATTAGGCTTTGAGGTTGATAGCTGCAATTGCAAAATAACAGGGGAGTTTTATTTAAGGTCTTAGCAAAAATTTGTAGCTTGCATAGTGGATACAGTTGTTCCGTGGCATGCAGATGTTTCATTACCATTCTAGGCAACATCATCAGTGCAACCTCTAACCGAAGCGTTGGTGTTCTCTTCTGTTCTGAATTTATATGATACTCTGGTGTGGTGAGTCTTGTCACTTCTTCTGTTCTGTTTTTTAGCAGTGGTCTGTATATGGGGTCTGTTTCTATGTGTTTGTTAATGGAGTCCCATGTTGAGAACCAGGCTTCCAGAAATTTCCTTGCATGTCTGTTGTTCGCTTGTCCCACTATAGTCACTTTGTCCCAGTTGAACTGATGGCCCTCATTGTGTATCGAGACAAGTTGAATATTAGTCGTGTCTTTTTACTGCCAACTGGTGTTCGTGTATCCTGGTTGTCAGTTTCCTCCAGGTTTGTCCACTGTAATGTTTATTGCACTCACTGCATGGGATTCTGTATATGATGTTAGTCCTGTTCCCTGTCTGTATGGGGTCTTTAGTCTTTGATAGCATTTGATGCGGTGTTGATGTAGGTTTGTGCACAATCATGATGTTATGCGGTCTAAGGAGTGTGGTTGTCATTTCTGATATATTTTTGATGTAGTATATAAACAACTTGGAAGTTGGATTTGGATTGTAAATGAATTCGGTCATATCGCCATTCATTTATTTATGAAATAAATTTCACAAAATCTGATTTCCTGTGCAATATTCCTAATCCTAGAGAGGTTCAATAAACTTGTGCATTGTGTTCATCAAGATGAAATCCTTTGATCCACTTTACCCAAGACTGTATATTTATCTTAACATGATGGATTGTACCCACTAGCTTTGACTTTTTGTTGCTGAGCGCCTTTCTGGATCATTTGATTCCAGACTGAGTCTAGAGCACTTGAGAACTGTGAAATGAGGAGCATTTGACTTTGGGGCTAACAACTGCACACAGCCCAGGCCCCAGTAGGAACCTCTATCCCTGTGCCACAGCCCTTGACATGATGAATCTAGTGTTCTCATTTCCTGAAGCTCCGTTTCTCCTGCAGCTGATTATGTCCCAACTTTCTTACAGTTCTAGAGATAGTAGGAACTGCAGATGCTGGAGAATCTGAGATAA